CCAGTGGCTGGGAATGGGTGGGATGGGGCTGGTCCCTGCCAAATGGCAGCGGGAGGCAATTCTTGTTCACTGGGCTGGGCAGGAGCAGCACCTTTCCCTTGGTGTGTTAGTGCCTTAAAATCTGAGGGAAGGGCTTTGAAATCCCCGTGGAAGCGTTCATAGGAAGGAGAACTGTCCCTGTTCTGCCGAGGAGGGGCTTTGCTCGGCTCTCCCAGCAGGAATTGTCCCCTGGAGCAGTTCCCTCCTGCAGGCCACGCCTGCACACCCTTGGGCAAACCCCAGGTGGGGAAGCCTGGCACTGCCTGACCCTAACCCCCGAAGGCAGAAGCCCTTTGGGATCTGTTTCCTGTGGGGACAGCAGCCCTGTGACAGCCTCCAGCTCCAGCCACCCCTTCCCTGCGGAGCGCAGGAGCCAGAGCAGCCATGCCGAGCTGGGATGGGACCCTGGGGCTGGCAGAGCCTGCGCTGTGCCCAGCCTCACCCTCGGCATGCCCACAGGGGTGCTGTTTGCCCAGAAGCCCGTGGTGCAGCTCCTGGCCGGCTCGGGCACGCAGAGCTCGTGCAGCAGCAGCAGCAGCAGCAGCAGCAGCAGCAGCAGCTCCCACTGCTCCCCCAGCCCTACCTCGTCGCGGGGCACGCCCGGCGCAGAGCCCTCCACCAGCTGGTCCCTCTGACGGCCCTGCCCGGCCTGCACGCTTACCTCACCTCACAGAACCTGCTCCCGTGGCTGCACAGCACCTGCAGGATGACGATGATGATGATGGTGGTGGTGGTGGTGGTGGTGGTGGTGAAACCTTGCCATGCCAGCGAGTTTTCCTTCATCGTCTCTTTGTCCGGCCTTGTTTTGGCTTTGTTTCCCCGCTTGCCTTCCTCCCTTTTCCTCTTTGTTTCCTCCTCCTCCTCCTCCTCCTCCTCGCAGGGTGTGGGGTGTTCCCATGGAGGGGGGGCACACCTGGCGTTTCTCAATCAGGGATGGCTCTGGGGCCACAGCTCCTGGGGTGTCACCAGGGCAGGGAAAGGGCCAGGACTGGGGCTGGGAACCCTGGTTCTGCTGGGACCCTGGTTCTGCTGGAACCTTGGTTCTGCTGGAACCCTGGTTCTGTTGGAACCCTGGTTCTGTTGGAATCCTGGTTCTGTTGGAATCCTGGTTCTGCTGGAACCCTGGTTCTGCTGGGACCCTGGTTCTGTTGGAACCCTGGTTCTGTTGGAACCCTGGTTCTGTTGGAATCCTGGTTCTGTTGGAATCCTGGTTCTGCAGGATCCCTGGTTCTGCAGGATCCCTGGTTCTGTTGGAGCCCTGGTCCTGCTGGAACCCTGGTCCTGCTGGAACCCTGGTCCTGCTGGAATCCTGGTCCTGCTGGAACCCTGGTCCTGCTGGAATCCTGGTTCTGCTGGAACCCTGGTCCTGCTGGAATCCTGGTTCTGCTGGAATCCTGGTTCTCCTGGAGCCCTGGTTCTGCTGGGAACCCTGGTTCTCCTTGAGCCCTGGTTCTGCTGGAACCCTGCAGGATCCCTGGTTCTGTTGGAGCCCTGGTTCTCCTGGAGCCCTGGTTCTGTTGGAGCCCTGGTTCTCCTGGAGCCCTGGTTCTGCTGAGACCCTGGTTCTGCAGGATCCCTGGTTCTGTTGGAGCCCTGGTTCTGCAGGATCCTTGGTTCTGCTGGAATCCTGGTCCTGCTGGAATCCTGGTCCTGCTGGAACCCTGGTCCTGCTGGAACCCTGGTCCTGCTGGAAATTTGGTTCTCCTGCAGCCCTGATTCTGCTGGAGCCCTGGTTCTGCTGGAACCCTGGTTCTCCTTGAGCCCTGGTTCTGCTGGGAACCCTGGTTCTCCTTGAGCCCTGGTTCTGCTGGAACCCTGCTGGAGCCCTGGTCCTGCTGAGACCCTGGTTCTGCAGGATCCCTGGTTCTGCAGGATCCCTGGTTCTGCAGGATCCCTGGTTCTGCTGGAATCCTGGTCCTGCTGGAACCCTGGTCCTGCTGGAATCCTGGTCCTGCTGGAATCCTGGTTCTGCTGGAACTTTGGTTCTCCTTGACCCCTGGTTCTGCTGGAACCCTGCTGGAACTTTGGTTCTCCTGGAGCCCTGGTCCTGCTGGAACTCTGGTCCTGCTGGAACCAGGGGCCGCCAGGGCTCTTCCCACCCACAACTCCGTGTTTTGACAATCCTGAGAGCCGGGGGGTGCCTGGCCCTGTCCTCCCGTGGCAATCTGCTCATGTCCCTTCCTGCTGTGTCCCCATGTCCTCAGGGGAGGCTCCTGAGCCTCCTTCCTGCTCCTCTCCACGCCTCTGGCACCATCGTCTGCTTGGTTCTGGCTGGTGCCAGCTCCCCCCTCGAGTGTCCCTGAGTGGTGACACGGCCAGCCTGGGCGTGCTGGGGCTCCGTGGGCCCCGCTGTGCCCCGAAGCAGGGTCCCTGGGGTGGGTGCAGCTCCCTGGATCTCTGCAGGGCTGCGTGCTGGGCACAGGGCTGCAGGTGGAGCCCAGCCGGGCACCGTGCAGCCGGGCTGCTTCCTGTGGGGCTCTGGACAAACCCCCCGTGACTGTGCCCGAGCAGGGCCCAGGGAATCCAGCCCGGCTGGAGCAGAGCTGCAGTTCCCTGTGCCTCAGCTGCTCAGGGGCCTGGTGCTGTCCCCTGTCCCCCTGTCCCTTCCCCATCCCCTGCCCCGGTGACATCCCTGCCATCCCTGCCGTCCTCCCCGTGCTGCAGGCCCGAGTCAGGTTTTTTGAGCAGACGAAATACCTCAGATATGTACGTGTTGGGTTGTTTTGTTCGCGTTGGGTTGGTTTCTTTTAACCTCTTCAAGGAAGTATTGGCATATCCTTATGGCTTGGGGGTTTTCCTAGGTGGGTTTTGCTGACTTTGTGTTTTGCTTTTATTTCTGTTGGCTTTTCAATGGATCGCCAAGCAGGGAGTTGAGACGAGGCTGAGCAGAGGAGCAGCGGCTTCCCCACCCTGCGGGAGCCCAGCTCCAGCATCACCCGGGGCACTGCACGGCAGGAGAGCAGGGAAAGGGGCAGGGCTGAGCCTGGCCCCTGGTCTGTGAGCTCTCCTGGCTCTGCCAGCCCCGGGCTGTGCCCTCCCGCTGCGTGCCCCGGCTCTGTGGATCAGGAGCTGCCCATCCTGGGAGGGATGCTGCTCCCGGCTGGCCCCAGCTGCTCCCTGCCATTTCATCCTCACACGCTCCCAGAGGGTTTTCCACCCTCTGGGACTCAATCAGATCATATTTTTTCCCCCACCTTTTTTTTATTTTTTGTGTTTTCTTTTGGTTGTTTTTATTTTATTCTTGGGTGGGGTTGGGGCTGTTTCCTCTGAGTGGGACTCTGGGGCACTTTCTGCTTTTCCCTCTGCTCTGCTCCTTGGCCCCGGGGAGCAGAGGCTGCTCCGGGGTGGGGCTGCTTTGTGTCACTTGCTAACGTTGTGTTTTCTTGCACAGAAAGGCACTCGAATCACTGAAACTGCTTGGACACTACTAGAGTATTAATGTTGATAAGCTTTACTCAACCTAGACTGGAACTAGCCAGGGACTAACAGATTGTTTTGTATCCAATTCAGGGAAAGAATCAGGTCGGGAAGCGTAACAGATACCTCAGTTAAATAAGCTGCAACAATAAACGGGTCCTTTTCCCAGCCCGGGGTGACAAGGACCATCCAGACTGTGAAGAGTTAACCCTTTCCCTCAGCCTGGCTTTGGCCCTGGCAGCCTGAGCTGCGGGTCTCCTGCTGAGCTGCCAGGCTTTGGGCAGGGAGTGCTGGAAACCAGCAGCAGAGCGGGGGAGGCCGAGCCCCCAGCCCCGTGTAGTTCTCAGGGTTTGATGCTGCCAGCAGGAGGTTCCCGAGGGCAGTGCTCCATCCTCCCCCAGCTCCACGCACCAGCCAAAAAAACCCCGGCCAGCCCCCAGCTTGCTCCCCCCGGCGCTTCCAGGGGGGAAGAGCGAGCCCAGCCTGCTCCCGGGGCTGCGGGGGAGGCACCAGGGGAGGCTGCGTGTGCCCGCTCCTTCCCAGGGGCCTGCGACCAGATGTTCTCTCCAAACAGCTGCAGCAGCCTTGCTAACTAGTTTTCTTACCTATTTAAAAGAGAAAAAAAAAAAATAATAAAATAAGTAAATAAAAACAAATGTGATAGCCTAGGCGGTGGATAAATACCTCAACGTCTCCTTCCAACAAGTGTCTGTATATGTTGTTGTTGGGTTTTTTCTATCTTACAGGTTATCTGAATGTTTATATTCCAATAAACTTCTACCTCTTCACACCGTGACCCCCACGCCTGCTTTGTGCCCCCGGCTGGCTCCCTGAGGGTAAAGAATTCCCAGATATTCCCGAGGCTGGGCTGTGTCCTTGCAGGGCTCTGAGGATCAAGAATTCCCAGATATTCCCGAGGCTGGGCTGTGTCCTTGCAGGACTCTAGGGATAAAGAATTCCCAGATATTCCCGAGGCTGGGCTGTGTCCTTGCAGGACTCTGAGGATAAAGAATTCCCAGATATTCCCAAGGCTGGGCTGTGTCCTTGCAGGGCTCTGAGAATAAAGAATTCCCAGAAATTCCCGAGGCTGGGCTGTGTCCTTGCAGGGCCCTGAGGGTAAAGAATTCCCAGATATTGTATGCATTGACATGAGTTCCTCGTGATCTTTCTTAGGCCCCTGACCACAGTTTCTCATGATTATTCTTACAATTAAACAGTAATTATATTTAATGACTAAACAATCATCACATCTAACAATTATATCATTTATCATGTACTAGCTACACAGGTGCAGCTCTAGCAAGCACAAGTTCTCCATGTGCTTAGGGTGTTTATTTTTCCAGGGCCTACTAAGCTCATTTTTCCTTTTAACCCCAAATCCTCGTGATTTTAAAACCCTTGTGCTGATGCCCCGTGCCCGCAGGGATCCTGCAGCGGGCACCCCAAAGGTGCGGTGCGCCTGGGCACCCGCAGCTCCCCGTGTGCGTGTGCGTGTCCCGGGGCTGGGCGGCCGCGGGCATCGGCAGCCGCTGCTCGGGCTGGAATACGATCCCTGGAGGGAAATTCCAGCCGGCTCCCGGCTCCCGAGCGCCCGGCGGGGATGGAGGAGCCTGGGCAGGGCGGCCCGGCCCCGCGGGGTGAGCAATGCCCGCTCTGCCCCTCCCGACACCCGCATCCCTTCGTGGACCCGGCTCAGGCTCTGGCACAGCTTCGTCCCGGCCCTGTTCTCCTTCATCCCTCGCTCCAGCGCTGGAAGCAAAGCTCTGGGCACAGGGAGCTTTTGTGCCAGCACAGACACCACCTCAAACGCAGAAACGAAATTCCAAAGGAGATTCAGCTCTCGTGTCCAGGAGTTGCTTCCCTGCTCCCTAAATGCCCACTGGGCAGGGATGCCCTCTTTCCAGGGAGCCCAAAACCCCGCGGGCATCCCTGCAGGGAGGGACAAAACCCAGCTCATCACCGCTCAGGGAGGACGTTCCCCTCTTTGGGACTGGGTTTATCTCAGCCCTCAGGGGCTGCTGCCGCTTTGAATGCAGCCCGGGCACCCCAAATCCCCCCGGCAGGTGCCCGCACTCCCCCGCACACCCTGTGAGCCCCCACCAAGCCCGGCTGATCGCGCGTCAGCCTGGCACTGATAACTGGGGCCCTTATCACGGCCGGGGTGAGGCCGGCTTTGTTTCAGCCCCGGACCCGTGCCAGGCTGCCCGAGAGCGGCTCCTGTCCCACCTGCTGCCCTTGGGCTGTTCCAGCTCAATCCCGGCTTA